AATTAAAGCCTAAAAGCAACAATTAGAAAAACTTTCAGGGTCGAGGTGCCAGGAGAAGCTCCCAGGCTCACAGAGAGTTTGTTGGAGAGACCCACAGGGTCCTGGAGGGTGCACAGCCCCACATACCTGGGAGCCGGCAGCAGGGGGTCCTGGTTTGCTTGCAGGAAGCAGCAAAGGGGACCAATATCCAAGAGAGAGCGTGGAACAAGTGCCATTGCCCCTCTCTGACCCTGCCCCCAAATACAGTGTCACAACCCAGACATTGTGTTGTCCCACCCTGGTGAACACTTAAGGCTCCGCCCCTCATACATAACAGGCACAAACAGACCAAAACATTATGGCTCAAGAACAGCTCAAAGCCCCAGAGCCAATACTTCTAAGTGACCAAGAGATAGCCAACCTATCAGATACACAGTTCAAAACACTGGTGATCAGGAGGCTTACAGAACTGGTTGATTTTAGTCACAAATTAGAGGAACGAATGAAGGCTAACTAATTGAAATGAAGGGAAATGCACAAAAAACCAATAGTGATGGAAAGGAAACTGGGACTCAAATCAAGGGAGTATACCAGAAGGAAGAAAAAAGTGACCAAACAGAAAAATATGAAGAAACAAGAATTAAAAAAAAATGAGGAGAGGCTTAGGAACCTCCAGGACATCTTTAAACGTTCCAACATCCGAATTATAGGGGTACCATAAAGGGAAGAGAAAGAGCAACAAGTGGAAAACTTATTTGAACAAATAATGAAGGAGAACTTCCCCAATCTAGCAAAGGAAATAGACTTCCAGGAAATCCAGGAAGCTCAGAGAGTCCCAAAGAAGTTGGACCCAAGAAGGAACACACCAAGGCACATTATAATTATATTAGCCAAGATTAAAATGAAGGAGAGAATTCTAGAAGCAGCAAGAGCTAAGGGGACAGTCACCTACAAAGGAGTTCCCATCAGACTGTCAGCTGATTTCTCAAAAGGGACCTTACAGGCAAGAAGGGGCTGGAAAGAGGTATTCCAAGTCATGAAATCCAAAGACCTACATCCAAGATTGCTCTATCCAGCTAAGCTTTCATTTAGAATGGAAGGACAGATAAAATGCTGCTCAGATAAGATCAATTTCAAGGAGTTCATCATCACCAAGCCCTTATTATATGAAATGTTAAAGGGACTTACCTAAGAAAAAGAAGATAGAAAATATGAATAGTGAAAGGACAGCAAACTCACAGTTATTAACAACCACACCTAAAACAAAAGCAAACTGAGAGGACAGCTAGATCAGGAGTGGAACCATAGAAATGGAGATCACAAGAAGGGTTAGCAACAGGGGAGTGGGAGGAGAAGAAGGGGGGAGAAGGTACAGAGAATAAGTAGCGTGAGGGTAGGTAGAAAATAGACAGGGGGAGGGCAAGAATAGTATGGGAAATATAGAATCTAAAGAACTTGAGACACGTGGTCATAAACTAAAGGGGGGGGAGTGGTGGGGGAGGGGGTGTGCAGGGAGGAGGGGAATGAAGGGGGGAAATGGACAACTGTAATGGCATAATCAATAAAATATATTAAAAAAAGACAGTATTCTATTGCTGTATCACAGACCACTCCAAAATTTCATGGCTTTAAACAGTTTATTAATGTGCTTCATGCTGCTGTGGTTAATGGGCTCAGCTGAGAAGTTTTCATGAGATTGCAATCAGCAGTGTCTAGTTTTTACCTCATCTGGAGGCTCAACTGAGCTGGACATGCAAGATGGTATACTATTACAGCTGACAGTTGATGGTGGCTGTTGGCTGAGAGCTAAGCTGAGGCTAGTGAGAGGGGTACCTACATATGGCCACTGTGTGACTTGGACACTCAGAATTGCAGGTTGGGTCTAAGAGGATGTGTTTCAGGAGTGAGTATTCCTATAACAAGGTGGAAGTTGCAAGGCTTCTTATGACCTGGCCTTGGAAGTCATGCAGCATGACTTCTACCATATTATTGGTCATAAACAAGACACCGACCATGTTGAAAAAGTATAAAGAGGTCTTGTGTACCCTTCACCCAGGTTCCCCTAGTGGTAATATCTTATATAACTGTAGTACCATATCAAAACAGGGAGATTGATATTGGCAAAATCCATAGACCTTATTCAGATTTCACAAGTCCTCTTAGTATTAACTTTATATATATCTCAAAGTTACCACTTCTCTCTATTTCTGCCACTACATTTTTTGTCTAAGCTGCCATCATCTCTTTTAGGACTATTCTAGTATTTCCCTGATTTCTTGTTCCTATTGTTATTCTTCTCTAACTATTTCCTATAAAGCAGCAAGAAGGATCTTCTAACAACAGTATTAGGTCAAATACTTTATCACTTACCCATTGCCTTTAGAATAAAATTCAAACTACATACCATGATATCTAAGGCCCTATCATTTAATCATAAATCATTATGATTATGATTTAATCTGGAGATTTTCTTCTTTTACCTGTAAAGACAGACATACCCTTTACAACACAAAAGTGGCAAACACAGATTAATGTTATGCTGAGGAGGCTGGAGGATGCATGTCATAGGTCCCCTGGATACCTGGTAGGTCTATTAGCTGGCCAGTGAAAGTCCCAGTGTTTCCTCCTGGTCATCCCCTTGCCATTCTCAAGAGAGTTTCTTGGTGTTAGAGAGACCCTCACCCTGTGCCCCTGTAGGTATTCTGTCTTGGTGGATGATCCAATCAGAAATGGCGGTGTGTAGAGGGGTTTCTGTTGCTACTGAGCAAGAATCTCATGCCCTTACCTTAGGTGGAGACTGAGATGGCTGAGGGGGTGAGGAGGAGTGTGGAGTAGATTGATAAATTGGGGTCTGGGACATGTGTGCAGGAACCAGGGCTGGCCCCAGCCCTTTTTATCATTAGATAAGTTGCTGCAGATGTCCTGCAGCCTCCAGAAGACCTCCCAATTTGACCAGAGAGGAATTGGTGGCTGTTGTGTCTGCCTCTGAAATCCCTCAGCAGCCCAAAATCACAGCTGTCTTTCTGGTTTGGCTGATGTTATGAGGCCTGATGGCTTTGACTTTAAGTTGTAGGGCTCCTTTTTGGGCCCAGGCCTGTTTGTTCCCTTCTCCTTTCCTGCTTTCCTATAGTCCCTGGTCCTTTGATGGCCTCTGTGGTTTCTTAAGCTAATCTCACCCACTGCAAGCGTCAGGTTCTCCTCCCTTAACCATGGTTGCAGAGAGCAAAACTGTCTCTCCAGAATCCTTGTAGAGTGTGGTCACTCATTTCTTTAGGGAAATGGTGCCCAGGTATGATAAAGACCATATATGAAGCATTGCACAGGTACCAGGTTCTCCTGGTATTCTCACGGTTGAGGCTTCACACCTGGCTTCCTAGTTCCTTCCAGTGCTCCGGCCTGCGGAGCAATCAACTGGGGCTCGACCACCTACCTAGAACAAATGAGTTGGGGGGACAAGAGGCGCGAAGAATGGCAGCAAGACAAAAGATTCTGATCAAGCTGCAAACTTTATTTTTCCGAACTGGGTATATATATAGGGGGGGAGGGAGAGATTAGGTTGCTTGCTATTGGCTAGCTTGAGACAAAGAAGGGCCCGCTTATTGATTACTTGGGTGCAACTGGTACTCGTGGACACCTCATGTGCCTGTAGCTGATTGGCTTGTGGAGTGCACAGGTTCCTGTAATCAATGCAATGTTTTTAGCTAGAAGCCAGGTGTAAGGTTCCCAACATTCCAGAAAGACCTGGCTTTACCTCTTACTACCCCTTGTGTGGCATTTGAACTCCCTGCTTCCTCAAAGTGTCTTTTAAAAAATATTATTTATTTATTTTCAGAGAGGGAGGGAGGAAGAAAGAGGGAAATATCAGTGTGTAGTTGCCTCTCACGTACCCCCTACTTGGGACCTGGCCCAACCCAGACATGTGCCTTTACTGGGAATCTAACTGGCAGCCTCTTGGTTCACAGGCCCACGCTCAATCCACTGAACCACACCAGCCAAAAGTGCCATGCTGGCACTTTTGTTGGCACAGTGTTTGTGGTTCAAAGCATGGCAGTACAGAGGGGCTTATGTCCCTGGGTGTCTCTCACTCTGGAGACCCCAGGCTGGCTGCATCATGCTGAGTGACTGTCAGTTCACACAAGGGTGGGTGGATGTCATGGTTGGTGACATAGGCAGCTCTCTTTCCTCCTGCAACCCTCTCTTGCCTTCTTTGGGCATCGTTATTACAAGGGCTGCTGCCAAGGCATTGCTAAGAGGTGTCAGGAGGAGGAGAAGCTAGTGACATGAATTAAGATATGGGTCCTTTAAGCAAATACTCAGAAAGAATCATTTACCCAGAGCTAAATAACAAATGAGTCAGCCTCTGAGTAGTTGCCACCCTCCTCCTGCCATTCCCTAGCAAAACAGGGAAGGCTACCTGGGGGCTGCCTCACTCTGCCAGCAACTGAAACCTGGAACCACTGTGTGATCCTGTTCTAGTGCCCAGTGCCAGCATGAGCCCTGATGCTGTTTACCAACTGCACATTGACTTTTAGAGGAGGGATCCATGGATGGGCTTTGGTGCTCTCTCCCCACCCTCAAGCCCTTTACATGGCCCTGTTGGATTTAAGAGATACTGTCCTTATACCTTCATGATGTGGTCCCCTCCCACCATGACCACCCATTTCTCTACTTGCCCCAGCACTTGTCCTCTCCATAGCAGATGTAATTTTAGGGGGCATTTGAAAAGAACCAGATCTGAGAAGAAAAAGTGAATTCTACATCTTAGTGCTTGTTAGCATATTCCAGAACCAGGGCCATGTGACTTGGTCCACACATTGGCAGGTGAGTCTGTCATTCCCACCAGGCAATTCAGCAGAGATGGAACATTCATTTGGGCAAATGTTGTGTTAGAATCATTCTGAGAAGTCCAGCATGCATTGGAGGGAGGGAGAGGAAGAGGAAGAGGAGGCAGGTTGGACCTCCTGGATGCATGACTAAAGGAGGATGGCAGGCCTGGGGACAGAAGCAAAGTAGAGCCAGGACAGATTCCAGAGGTTTGGTTTTATTGTGTAGTTTTCTTTTTCCTCAGGGAGATGCTGTAAGCTGTGATGGCACTATACATGGTCCCAGGACAGGGCAGAGCTGACAGATGGGAAGCTGGGTGTTGGGAAAACCCATTTCTCAAGGCATTTCCTGCTTACAGGTCTCACTCCATGGCCTGTCTCAGCACCCCCCCTCCCACCAAAGGTAGGCTTGTGAGGCAGGGGATGTCTGAGGCTCAGCTAGCTGGGGTTGGCACTACCTGTGGAGGGAAGAGCCTCCTGGAGAAATACTTGGGCCAAATTGCATGGCTCTGTGGCTCCCTATGGCCTGCATACTGCCTGTAGGTCAGCATTCTGGAAGTTCTCAGGAGCTTGGGAGAGCGTAGGAAGAGGACTGTCTTCCTCTGCCACCCTCTCAACTACTGGATGAGACAGTGAAAGACAGGAGACTCCTATTTTTAGCTTCCTTAGGTGGGGAGGAATGATGGACTCTCCCTCCATTCTACATCCCTTTCCAACTGTCCATTAGCATTCCTTGTTGGGCAGAATCTGTATTTCCACTGGATCATGCCCTAAGACTAAGGCCCCTAGGGCACTTCTGCAGTGAAGAGGACAGCTTTTGTGCTGGGACAGAGAATGCCCCTAATGATGCTCAGTTCTCTTCTTGTGATCATGGTGTCTCCCCTGCCAGGTAAGTATCTCAATTCTTTTCTCATGTGATAGACCACAAGTGCTTTGTGGTACCCTCACATATGGGGGTGAGGGGCTGCTGGGGGATGTGCTAGGCCCAAACACATCCCATCCCCCTTCTCATCAAGGTCTCTCTCAGGCTTCTGGTCCCTGTGGGTAAGGATGGCCCCCAAGGACTGGTACCCCTCCATCCTACAATCCCTCCCATGCCCTCATTCTTTATCAAGTCCCTAACTATGGCTTCCCTTTTCACAAACTCCCAAAGAAAAGGAGGAAAAATCCCTAAATAAACCAGACAGAAGCAGTTCAGGAACAAAGTGGACAAAAAGCTAGTGGTGTCTGGAGAGGGTATGAGGTGGCAGTGGGGTAGGGGTGGCAGTGGGCGGGTAGGTAAATAATGGCATGCAGCACTGAGATTTCTTATGAGGGATGGGGTTCTCATTTTACCCCCCAAGGTATGTGAGGGATTGGAGGGATGGGATCAGTTTACTCAGATAAGTAGGATCTCTGGACAAGGCCTTGTGGCTTCCTGTGTCCTCCATGGGCCCAGCCAGTCAAAATGAGATGAAATCCATGGCGAATAGGAAGGGCAGGGAGAGCAGGGACAGCAGCAGCCATGATGTGTCCTGGGCCAGCAGGCTTATGCCCCCACACTTGACCAGTTTGTCTGTGGAGACAGAATGGGGTTGAGAGGTAGAACAGAAATGAAGAGCAGGACTTGGGCAGCTACAAGCCCAGAGGTAGGGTGCATTTCCCTGGGAAGGGCTGGAACCAGGGCCAGTCTGGTCTAACAGAACCAATCCTCTCTCCCACTGCACATTCCTGAACCCTTGAACAAATATCATATCACATTTTTACTAAGCATCCTCATAAGAAAACTGGGTAAGGGAGCTGCTGTCAACCATTTTCCAGGTGGGAAGAAGGAGGACTGTGGAGGCCAAGAGATTTGCCTTCAGCCATTGTGGAAGCCTCTGCTACACCACTCTGCCTGTTTGACTGTACCCTTAACACTTCCCCCCATTCACACTGAAGGCAGTGATCCCCCAGGGCACAGGCAGTCTCTTCTGTGGCCCAGCCAGTGTGACTGCCTGTTGTCCTAGGCAGTCCATTTCTCCCCAGCCTGTCTCTCCCAGCTTATTTGGCCTTGTTGGGGTTTTTCTCACCTCTGATCACAGAGACCTTCTTGTTGGAGAAGGTCTGGCTAGAGACATGGAGTTCACATGTGTACATCCCCTCATCCTTGGTGGTGAAGCCAGATAAGTAGAGGACCTTGATGTTGTACTTGCTGGTGAAATTGGTTCGGGAGCGGTATGTGTGCTCAGGCACTCCCACAGTGCCAAAGAGCACATGCTTCTTTGAATCACGGGTCAGGCTGAACTCGTACTGAATGGGCAAGGAGGTAGTGTTCTCATGGCGGCAATCCAAACGAAGGCTCTGGTCCACCAGGCAGGCTGTCAGGCTGGTTACCTTTTGTCCACTGGCCACCTGCAAGACTGGTACCAGCAGTGCCCCCTCTGAGTTGGGGGGATAGGCAGAGCAGGGGGCCTCCCACCCACATTAACAGGACAGAGGGGCATGGCTAGGGAGGGCACAGGGGTCTGCTTTCTGAGTACCTTTCCCCACCACAGCATGCTGCAGATGGTAGCCTCCCTCCCTCATATACTCTAGTCCTGGGTCCCACCAGTGTGTCCTAGGGGTAGGAGACCTTGGGGAGTTGGTGCAGGTTCCTGGTTCCTACATGGAGATTCCAAGTCAATATGGTGTAAGCTCTGTGAAATATGTTTCCAAAAACCACCTTAGGCAGTCAGAGGATCAATTAGGTTGCTCAATTGACTTAGGGATGAAAAGGAACCCTTTCTCCCTTAATCATCTTCACCTTCTGAGGTCATGAGGAAGAAGCTAGCTTCTCTGAAGGAAGCCAAGGTACTCGGAATCCCAGACCTGCCCCTTGCCCAGTACCTGTCAGGAGGAGAATGAGGCTGATGGCGGGGTTCATGGTGCGAAGAGCTCAGTTCTGAACCTGGGAGTGGGAACAGGATCAGAATCAGCTGAGAGATGAGGAGATATGCCCACACACACTGCCAGGGCTGGGGGGGGGGGGTCCATGGAATACATGCCATAGTGGCCATGACAGGCACCCAAGCCCTTCCCTGCAGCCTTCTTCCTATCAGTGAAGGTGACACTGCCACTCATTTTTTCCTCTCAGGGAAAGCAAGAGATGTGTGTCTGTGCTAAACTAGCTGGGTGACTCACTAAAGTGACTTTAACTACCATTTCATTTTCCCTTCAGGAAGACAGGGTCTTCCTATTTAACACAACATAACACAAATAGTGTTGTTCACTTATTTAATATATTGTTGTGCAACCAATACCCAAAACTCTTTATCTTGCAAAACTAAAACTCTTTTAAACAAAAACTGCCCATTCAGGGACTTCTCAGTTCTTATGCAGAAGAAAATACCAAAGTTCCTGGCACATAACAGATGCTCAAAAGATGTTGAAGGATTGAATGAATGAATGAATCGAGCTTTAGATGATCACAAGGTTGTGATGTCATTAAAACAAATATCTGGTACTTTGCTCCATAGTAAGTGATCTACACACCAATTCCTCCCATCCTAGTGATTGTGTGGTTAGGGATGATGTCTGGTGTGTGCGGCTAAGGTGCTCCCAGACAGGACTGTAGTTGGAACACAGACAAGGGCATTCCCAGATGTATGTGAGGGAGTGACAGTGCTCTCCTATTGCATATGTTGCCTGATTGCATAGAAACCAAGATGTTTCCAAATGTTCAGTTCTCTGTGCACAACTGGCTTCAGTAGCCTAGCTGCCTAGGCTCTCTGCCCTGCCTTTCGCAGTTAAGGCTGGCAAGTCCACACAGCGGCATGGGTGCTTGATAGCCAGAGGCTGCAGGAGCGGCGCCTGAGAGTGTAAGCTCGGTCATGCCCCGGTGCATGCACTGGGAAGTGCTCTAGGAGTCCAGGGCCCTGCTATGGCTGTGGTTACAGTTAATACTCTCTCCTACTCGAGAGGGACCCGGAGGTGCTGTTGGAGAAGAAAGGGAAGTTGGTTACTGTCAGTCTGTACCTCTTCTCTGTTTCAGGGACCAGAGGGGAGAGGGGAGGGGATTATAGGGGGAAAGGGTGAAGGGTTTGCAGGAACAATTATAAAGGACACATCGACAACAACAAGGCGGGGTGGAAACCGGGGAGGGAGGTGGGAAGGGATGGAGTGGTAGGGAGGGGTAGGGGGAAAAGGCAGAAAACTGTACTTGAACAATTTTTAAAATGTCATAAAAAAAAGGGAAGTTGGCATTTGGTTTTAATTGGCGGAGGCTGGAGTTACGGAGGAAAGGTGCGAGTCTGGGATTCAGGAGCAGAAGCAGCAGCTAGAACAGAAATGGGGAGTGGGGCTGGGGCTGCAGAGGGTGATACAGCCAAAGTGAGGGTTATAGAGAAGAAGGGGAGGCACAGCGTATTTTCCTTTCCTTTGCCTAGCGTCTTCGCAGACTAGAACCCAGATAAGTTCTGAGGTACGGTCCTCTCCAGCCCCCGTTCGACTAGCCCCACCCTTATTACTTTTCCGTATTTCAGCCCTCTCCTTTCCCAATTGTGGTCTTCCCACCCCCATCTTTTTCCAGTTATCCCCTCCCGCGCCTGCCAGCCTTCCGCCCAGACACCGCCCCCACCCGCGCCACTGCGGTTTCCCATTACTTGGATGCCCCGCACCCAGCCTGCCCCGAGGTCGCAGGGCTGAGATTTCCTCCAGTGTGCCAGCCTCTATTGTCTTCCTCCAACTTTAATGCCACCTCCCAAACCGCCTTCGAGCGCTCGATTTTGGGGTCTTCTGGGTGGAGAACAGAACCCAAGGCTGTCCTTAGCATCCTTCCTCCCGGTTTTCCTCCAGCACCCTGGTTCCAGAAACCATCCCCCCAAGCGGGTAAAAGACCAGGACACCTTCTTCGAAAGGTGGGGTGCAGCAGGGCCCCTGGCCTGCAGCAACTGCGTCTAGCTCCCGACCCCTGCTTGGGAAGCTGGTCCCTCCCCAACCATTGTGCTGCTCATTCCCAGGACACCGTTGGGCCGTTTTCCGGAGCTTTGGATTGAGAGGGCTTGCGTGGGCACCTGGGGCCGATCACCGCGCCGCTGTGTGGAGGGTCCCCCTCTGACATAGATTCCCACCTGGGTTCCGGTCTTCCACTGCTGCAGCCCCTTGGAAACGTCGCCTCAGATGCTACACTCCGCTGGATGCCCGCAGTTTTCACCAAGGGTGGGAAAGGAGGAGCTAGGCGGGCCTGGGGGCTCGGCCAATCAGAGGCTGAAGGGGAGCGAGAAATGATGGCAGAGGGAGGAGGCGGCCCAACATTGGCGTCAGAAACGACGCCCTCAGAAGGGCGACTTCACCCTGTGGCTCACAGGCTTGACTAGTGACCCCGGGATCGGGGTGGGGCAGCTGAGGGGCCGCCTTCCAGAGCACTGCAGGGATTGCTCCCCTTTTAAGGCGTTAACTGTTTTCTTCTAGCCCAGGGTTCCCAAACTCTGGTCTGGTATAAGACCATGCCCTTCCCTTTGGGCTTCTCATTGTAGGCTAATTTCTAAGACTGCCGACCTCCGCCTCCAGCTCATTTTTCTAGTCACTCTGGCCCCCTTCATGTCATTCCATGTAGTATTTTTTTCCTCCTTAACAGCTTTATAATTCTAAGTCCAAGGATCCTTCCTATCAGAACACAATTGCTTTAGCTTGGATCCTCCCCCCCATGAACACACACACACACACACACACACACACACACACACACACACACACACACACACGCTGGAGATGGTTAATTTTTCTGGCAGGACATGGAGATATCTGGGCTCTGGCTGGGTGGAAGGCCTAGCTGTGCTATTTTGATAAGGTTATGAGAGCCTGGCATACTTTCTGGGTCCCCAAGTACTTTACTTCAGGAAGTGGGGAGTGTGGACTCTAGAGAGAGTGGCAATGCTTGTGTCTGCTAAAGCATGGTCTCTGGCTGGATTGAGTTAATGGCTGAAATGAGAGGATCTGGGACACAGGGTGGTGAAGGGGAGATTTAAAAACTTCCATTTACTAACCAGACAGGATCAAAATGCTGAAAGCAGGAAGGGTTTGAGAGGCATCTACCCAAGGCAAAATTTCTTGACAGACTGTGGCTGCCCTGTTGGTCCCTTAGATTGTTGTAGACTGCTCTGCCTGGTTCTAGGAATTGTGTTTCGACCCCTTGTGGCTAAGGGTGAGGGACGACCTTTGAAATGCAAGCTGCAGGAGACAAAGCTTGTCTCTGGTAGCAAACACTGCCTCAGTTTCCTCTCCCTACTCCCAAAGCTTGGTCGGAAGTGAATGACAGGTAAGACCCCTCACAACCGGGAGCAACCTAAGTCAGACTCAATCACTTCGGAGGCCTTCATGGAAGGACTGGGAGGCTGCAACAAAGAGGGAGCAATGGACTCTCATCCCCGGGCTTTGACAAAGCCTGAGTCCCCATGTTCTCTGGGAGAAGGCTTCCTGGCTCTAATCCCCTTAAGCCTGAATACCTGTTTGGGAGAGATGCAGCTCCTGCCTTGCTAGAGCGTGTCCTGGGGGAAAATCTGCCATCACAAAGACTTCTCGATAAACCTGTGAAATCTGCTCTGCTAAGAGTGTTTCATTCATATGTTAAGGGTTTGACCAGGAAACCCTAAAACTCTGTTCCTGACAGACTCATTCATACTAAGCCCTCAGATTTCTTTGAAATGTTATCTACTGTTTCATCCTTGCCACACTGTATTCCTGTGTATTACAACCCAATAAAAGCCCTGGAGGAGGGGGCTCAAGGCCTTTTTCTCCTAGGAGAAACTGGCTGCTGCTGGCCTTTTTCCCCTGAGAAACTGGCCACTGCCCACAGCCTTTTTCCACTGGGAAAATGGCCACTTCTCCCTAAGCAGATCACATCATGTCTCAGTCATATTTACTTTTGTCCGTGGCAGCAGTTGTGGGGGACTTGTGAGGAAAGTGGCCCCCACATTAGATCTTTCTTTTTCTGTTATTTCCAGATGCTCCAGCTACAGACACACGGGATAAAAACTCCTCTAAAAATGCACATTCCTTTAGTGTTACAGAACAGAGGTCCAAGGGGGGGGCAATATTTGGCCCACCCAGGGATGCCAAAAACTTACAGAACAACAGCCCCCCCCCCAGGACAGTATACTAATATTGTCCTGATGACTTACTGGGCTTGTCACAGGTGTGCACAGGTAACCAGGTTCTTAGTGATCGAGGACAAAGAACTGAACTGAACACAGAGTTTATAGCATAAAGAAAGAAAATTTATTAAGTGATAGTACACTCCACAGAACATAGGAGCAGGCCAGCTCTGAGCAGAGAATGTCTTGTGGGCTGGAGGGATTCTATTCTTATAGGGTGGAACCTTCCTGGCTAGTTTTTTTTGGCGGGCTTCTATTGTGCATGTACAAGTAATTGCATTTCAAAGCTGCTGTGCATGCGGTCTCCCATGATTTTTCTTGATTGGCTACTGGAGAAGGAGGCCCCAGAATGTTAATTTATTATAATGGTATTATAATGAAGCAGGGGTCATGTAGGATCTTCTGTGCAGGTGCATTCCTGAGTCATCATGATTCAGCGTTTTTTCCAGAAAGCAGGAACAACCGGTCTTAGAGGGTCTTTGTCTTGTATGGATGTCCTCCATCTTAGTCCTGGGGCACCTCTAGAGTTTCCTCCTATCTCCTGCCTCAACTTCCCCCTGAGAGACATGGTTCTCAAACATCTTTTTGGGGTTGTTGAAGGGTGAAGATCATTCTTTTGTAACTTCTTCTGGCTCAGATTGGGCAGTCGTCCCTGCCTATGGAGAACCACAGAACTCTCATCCTATTCTATCTGGTTGAAGAGGAACTCCTGAGGCCACCATAGATGTTATATGCTGGTCGGTTTCAACATCATTCTCAGGGATTGATTGGAAACCATGGGGCATCAATTTGAAGTGGAACTGCTTAAGTCTAGAAGATACAAATTTAGCAAGTAAATTAAATAAACAAGGTCCTAAAAGTAGTAAAAGCAGCAGTGTTATTAAGGGCCCTAAGAAGGGTAATAGTCAGGTTAAGCTAGGGAACCAGGAGGTCAGGGTATCCCTAATTCCTTGGACCTGTTGATTATATTTATGTAGTTACTCTGCCTGTTCATAAATTTTCCTTATGTTTGTTTAAACTATTCCAGAGTTATTTACATAGGTACAGCAAGTTTTGTTGATAATAGCACATACCCCACCTTGTTCTGATAGAAGATAGTCAAGGGCAAGGCAGTTATCCATGACTCATTTGCCAATGAGTCTACTGATCTTGAGAGTCCAGCTAGACTATCGGCAGTGTTTTTGGAGACTTCTTCTATAATCTTAGTGAGTTCCCTTAGAGTGGGCTCATGGTAGGCAAAGCCTCCCCAGGGGGCTGCAGCAGCTATAGTGGCAGCAGATCCAGCCACTACTAGACCAAAAGCTCATTTTTTTCTGCTGAGAGATGGACCCCCAGGACCCCAGGTTATAATGAAACGGTCTTGGGGTGCCAAGGTTCCCAAGGTACAGTCACCCCCATGTTTAGAGTTGCTGAAATGTGTATAAGCAATAGCTTCTTGAAGTTCTGAATGATCTGTAAGCCAGTTATTGGAAGTCCCACATAGCCAGACAAGGCCTGGGGGTGCTGCAATGACTGTGGCATTGGTGGAGTTATATTTGTTAAGGAGGGCATATGGCAAGGGGGAAAGGCAGTCCTTAAAAGGGCCTAAGTTATTTCCCTGACCTTCTCCTCCTGCAGGAGGTGGTAGAAATTTTGCTAATACTCCTTGAAGGGATTGGTTCAATTTCCAAGTAACACATTTAGAAGTATCATTTGTATCTGCATTGTGAGTTTTGTCAAAGTAGCAATGGGTACTATTAGGAATACAGTTAGAATCATAATTTGGGTAGCATACTATATGTGACCAATTCAAGGGTTTGAAAATCTCTCCCTTAGAAAGATTCTCAAGAAAGCTGGTACTTGAAAGAGCGGCCAGAGCTTCAAATGAGTTAATGGTCCCCGTATGAGTATTATTATAACATGGGGTGCATCCTATAGTACTGTTGCATTTAAGACAGGTGCTGGAGTAATTAAGTGGCTTTAATTCTAGTGGGGTCATACAGAAGCACAAAGGAGGGTTCCACTCCCATCTGACTCTTAAAGAAAAAGAGCAATGTGTGTAATTGGCAGAGGAATCCAAGGCATTGATTAAGGATTCATTAGCTATTGGGTAGGCTTTTATATGAGTATTATATCTGGAAGGAGTTTTTGGGTTAGGATGACATATCCAACATTAGGCCAGGTTTTCTCCTGCTGCTAAGGTTCAAGAAGCATTCACTAAAAAGTTTTTATCCCATTTTGTTATACAGGGCATAGGCAAGTAGAGAATGGTTAATAGAAACAACAAAGACGGACTTCCGCCAAGATGGAGGTGTAGGTGGACACACTGTGCCTTCTTGCACAACCAAGTTTAAAAACAACAAAGTTTTAGCAACAAAAATGCAGCCAAACCACAGAAAATTGAACTATATGGAAGTCTGACAACAACAAACCCTTCAGCCAAACCAGTAAGAGGGGCAGAGCCAGCAGCAGAGCAGGGTCTGGCAGGAAAGATCCACTGGACCAACCCAGACTCACGACCCAGGTGCACCAGCAGCTGTGGGCGGATCCCAGGTGTGGAGTAGTGGGCGGACCCACTGAGGGCGGACCATGGTCACACATTCGTGTGCAGATAAACCAGTGAAGGAGTGAGCAGTGAGATGGACCCAGCAGGCCTCAGTGGTGGGAAGCAGCAAAGGGAATCGCCATTGTCCCTGTCTGACCCCGCCCCCACATACAGCATCACAAACAAGTGACCTGGGTGGCCCCACCTGGGTGAACACCTAAGACTCCCCTCCTCATATGTAACAGGCATGAACAAATCAAAACATGGCTCAAGAACAACTCAAAGCCCCAGAGCCAATAAATCTAAGCAATGAAGAAATAGCCAAACTTTCAGATGCATAATTCAAAACACTGGTGATCAGGATGCTCACAGAACTGGTTGATTTTAGTCACAAATTAGAGGAACATATGAAGGCTAAACTAATTGAAATGAATGGAAATGCACAGGAAACCAATAGTAATGAAAAGGAAACTGGGACTCGAGTGAACCACAAGGAAGAAAAAAATGACCAAACAGAAAAACATGAAGAAACAAGAATTCA